GAGTCAACGACAGTGTACAGCCATTTCATCTCCAGTCCATTCGTGTCAAATGCAACACACCCATACCGGTGTGATGGGTTGTCATCGCGCAGGCGTACCCCCCACGCCTTTCTGCTTGCGCTATCCGAAGGATAGCCATGCTTGCTCCAAAAGGCATCCAGGTCCGCGCGTGATGCAATCTGCTCCTCGTTGCAAAAGCGCCGCCAATACAGCGGCATCGTCTTCGCCACAGCGCGTCGAATGGCGCGCTTGTCCTGCACGATCCAGCACAGCAGGCGCAGCGAACGGGGATTGAATGTGTGATGCGTGTGGGGTGCGTGTGTGATGTATGCAACCATGAGGAAAGGAAGCAGCACACGCATGTGAAACAAGGGAACACGCGCACAATGCATGCACATTTATGGACAAGAGCACACGCGCACAGGGCCAGTGTCGTGAGCACTTTGATGTTATTCTTTTCTTCTCCTTCTCCTTCTCATTTATGCACATCCCAAGCACAGGGTCCTGTGCGTGCAGCATCATGCGCGTGGATGGGTTCAATGGCTGCAATGCCACGCCATTACCTTTGTTCGAAGCGGTGTTGTTGATGATGATGGTGGCGATGATGATGATGGTGGCGATGATAATGATGGTGGCGATGATAATGATGATGAAGTGGCTTGCAGTTGATCGGCGTTAACATCAACAACAGCAACGACACCACCGCAGCCATCCTGAAAGAAAGGGCACGGGGGAGGTAGTGCGTAAACATGTGAGCGTGACTGCGTGTCACTTTTGTGCACACCAGTGTCAATATGAACAGAGGTCAGGCATCTGATTATGCAACGCACACACCGAGCTTTGGCAGGCACGTTTGCTGAAGCCCAACACAGTCTGGCCACAGAATCAACACACAGTACATACAGCCATCATTTCCCAGCAAGCCAAATGCGCCACAAATGCACCACAACCCCAAGTCACGACTGCGTCACAACTGCAACGCAACACCATGTCACTGCCCACCTTGTCCCAGGGCGCGCCGACAACTTGCGGGCCGACGTGTTGGTACCACTGGTGGTGATGGCGGTGTGAATTGAACGTCATGGAACATCGTACCAATTGCGTGCATGGAGACGTGTTGGCAGGGAGCATCAGCATCACCCGCACGAACCAACACGCAGCAAATCTGTTGCACTGCCTGGCCACACTGCAGGCCCCTCTCTCTTTCTCACTCTTTCACGCGCACACTTGAAGTCTCGCACGACCACACACACACACACACACACACACACACACACACACACACACACACACACACACACACACACACACACACACACACACCATGACTCGCTCACACACACACACACACACACACCATGACTCGCTCACACTCGCAGGCACACACACATCACACAGAGTCGCTCAAGTTCAGGTTCGCAAGCATCAGCGCGTTCAAGACCGAGTGTACGCACGGAAGCAAGTCTGCCTGCTGAGTAGATCAGCAAGCCCTCGTCGCCACGCTTGTGTGTGTTGACGCCAAACACAGCCGTTAGCGGGCCAAACCCGGGGGCAAACGCACAAGCAACCTCAACGGGGCTGTGCATGTATATGATTTGTGTTTGTGTGCGTGTGTGTGCGTGTGTGTGTTGTGTTGTGTTGTGTTTTGTGTGTTGCATTTGTGGATTCCATGATTGTGTCGGCGACAACGGCGTACCGTGCCCAAGCATGCATGGGAAGACAATGAGTGACTCTGTGTTTGTACACGAGGGAGCAAGCGGGATGGGTCACACCACACCAAGCACATGTCACACGAAACGGATGAACGATCTTGCAAGCACTGACCGATACAGGTGAGCCCATGGCAGGCGCGGCTGTACGCGCGTTCCGTTGATGTGCATCTGAATTCGCGGACACATGTACAGCATCTCAAGCCTACGACGCAGCGAGCGCTGTGTGTGCGTGTGGTGTGTGTGTGTGTGTGTGTGTGTGTGTGTGTGTGTGCGTGTGTGTGTGTGTGCGTGCGTGTGTGGTGTGTGTGTGTGTGATGTGAATTCGTCGTGCACGCGTGAAAAAGAGGTAAAAGCAGCGCAATTGAAACACGTGTGCGCGCATCAGGGCTTGTGACGGGTGGCGAGTGGAAGGTGATGGGACGGGGCATGTAGTGGTGCGACAGCATGCTGCATGTATGGTGAAGGCATCCAGAATCCAATGTCGTTTCGAGGCACGAATGATTGCATGTGCACGCTCACTGCGCCCCTACCTTGGCATCTCCTTGGTCTGGCGAAGTGGCGGCTGCAAGAAGAATGTCGCGGTGGGTCCTCGTGAAGGTTGGCTGTTGTGGTGTCCCGCACGATGTCGTCGTGTTCATGCCAAACACGCACACCATCGTGCCCTCATCTGCGGATTTGTTCGTGCATGTGTGTGAAGTGAGTGCGTCCGTCACAGTGTGCAAGATGCAGCATAAATTATTGACGATAGACACAATTGACAACAAGTGCGCAAGCAATACACCCTCACACACATAAAAGCATACATCCACGCAGGGTACAGTGACGCTAACGAATCAACCGACAAACGAGACAGACGCCATCAAACACACACACACACACACACGCACACGCATACGCACACACACACACACACACACAGAGCAATGCCACATGCCGATACACTAGACAGCCGCGCACCAGCAGCACGTGCAAGGTGACTACATCACCTGGGATGCGGGCAAACTGGTGCATGAGGGCGGAGACGGTGGTGAAGGGGGAGGAGGTGAGGATGGCGTGGCGGTGGATGGCAGCATCGCCCTTGGCGTCCACAACAACGGGTGCATCTGTCGAGGAATACACAAGCAGCCGCAAGTCGTGTGAGCGGGAAATGGAGCCACACATGTGGTCAGAAGAGCTTGAACAAGAAGATCGCGGCAGTTGTCTGATAGAATTGGAATTGGAAGCGAAATTGGTCTTGTTTGTCATCTCATCTGATTGTCAGCAAGACTCGAATGCATTAATGCAGACGTGAACAAAGCCAGACAGGCAGGCACACAGAAGGACAGGCACAACCATTCAGGCAGACGAACATACACAGACGCGCACAGCAACAGGCAAGCATATGGGCAGACAACTGATATCAACACGAACATAATCAGAGCACGACCATATGCATTGGCTTGGGTTGTGGTACACATCCGTGTTCACTCACCATCAACGATGTGCCAGGTGAGCTGGGCGAAGGGCATTGCACACCCTCGCTGTCAACACAACAAGTAATGCAATGTGTGTGTGTGCGTGAGAAGGAGGGGGACACGAGTGCGACGCGTGTTGGCGAGGATCAAGAACAGAAAGCGTCACAGAATGCTGTACTGCAACGTAGTACTCACACAGGTGCAATGTGGTACTCTCACACGCACGTCAATACCCACAACCACAGAAACATGACTGCGTTACACCATACCACACATCCATATTCAATTGTTGCACATGAAAAACATGACAAAAGACACAAGCGAGCAAGCTATCTGTGTGTGCATCACATGTGTGTGAGAGGTGCGTGTGTGTGAGTTGCGTGTGTATGTGTATGTGTATGTGCATGTGTGTGTGTGTGCGAGTGTCCTGCACAATACCACGTGCTCAAGGTCAAAGGCTGCAAGAAGCTTGAAGGAGATCATGGCGGCCGTCAGATGCACGCGGTCTTGGCGGGAAAATATCATCACTCCATCACCGATGGCCATTGCGCTGCTGAGAAGCCGTCGCACAAACGGGTCCGTGGCTTCACGTGCACACACATCCACACACACGCATATCCACACACACACACACACACACACACACACACGCACACACACACACACACACACACACACACACACACACACACAAGCAATGGCAGTGCATTGGTGCGGGTTGGTGATGGGTGAATCTCAGGGCGTGGGAGAATCAGAATGCAGACGACCACAGTAGAACCAACAGATTCGCGAGGGTTTGGCCCACGCTTGTGCACATTTGAACTCATATATTGCATGTTCATCCCCGCCCCCCCCAAAACACACAGTCGCGCACACGAGTAAACGCGCACTTCCACGTGGCAAGTAGATAAGAGTACAAAAGCATTACAAAGAGAAGAACTGGTCTCGGCTTTTGTGAACGGTCAAGCGCACCTTGTTGAAGCATGGTCGTGACTTCTGCTGGCGGTATTCCCGGCCCGTTGTCTGCGATGAGAAGAAAGCGGGGCACCCGCTTCCCAGCTGCACGTCCTGCAGGCGTCCATGCCTTGGTCTCCTCTTCTTGGGACGAAGAAAGAAACAGGCATGGAACACGGAACGTGACTGTATGCATTGGTTACACACGTACATGTTCAAAGCAGCATAAAGCCAAGACAATGTGCGGCGGCGGTTGCACGACATGACACCAAATGCCGTTATACGTACCACACACACACACACACACACACACACACTACACACACACACACACACGCACGCACACATACTCGCACGCACACATACTCCACACACACACATACACACACACACACACACACGCACGCACACTCACACACACACACACACACACACACACACACACACACACGCACACACACACACACACACACACACACACACTCACAAACACACGCGCACGCAGAGCGACCTCACCGAGAACAACGTTCACCATCGGAGCCTTGCGTTCCCTGAGAGGCCCAGTGTCACAAATGAATCGGCATCACAGCAAAACATTGGGTGGGAACATTTGTGTCAGTGAACGTGCAAGCAGATGCAAGTGGCGGCACATGTGGCTTTTGCAGACCGCGACAACACATTGAGCAAGTGCACTTGCACTTGACACTGTCTTGAGACTATGCGTGTATTCGTTTCGAGGACAGCCACCTCAACGCCACAAATCTTACACAGCATTGTCGATGAGCATACACAAGGCCTCCAATGGGTCGTGCTGGCTCCCGTGTTCCCTTTGCCGTGAAGCAGCAAGCATGAAAAAGGCGGCGGGGTAGTGGATACCGGTGAGCACAGCACAGTGGGCGCCAAACAGCAGCAACAACAACTACGCAAGCTGTGTGCCAGGCAAGCACGAAGGTGTTGGAGTGTGCACGAATGCTTTTGTGTGTGTGTATGTGTGTGTCTGTGTTGGTGGGGTGGCTCGCACCTCCATTTGGAGAGTGTGGATATTCTTTGACCGGATGGATGCAACCGAGCAACGGCAACTCTGCCATGCTCCTGTGCCGCAGCAGCTCTCACGCTGTTGTGCATCGTTCTGCTCTCGGTGATTGTTGGCGATTAGTCAATAATATACATAATTTTCGACAACACGGTGGTCCTTCCACCAGCCAGATGCAGCGTGCGCAGCGGCGTGGTGGTGGTGGTGGACGTGGTGGTGTTGTTGGACGTGGTGGAGGACGTGGCTCACGTGGGAAGCAAGGTTCAACGCCGGAGTTGGAGCTACTACATCACGCAGCACACCAAGGTTTGTGTTCAACCCACATCCTTTGTTGTGAGATGAGGTGAAGTTCCTCAACTGCTCGCACCTATGTGCACCTTGCACACCCTCAACGCGCCAAACACACCTACACACACCCTCAACACACACCCTCAACAAACACACGCACACACGCACACTCACACACCCTCAACACACCTGCAGATGAGGCGTGGCTTCAAACAGCAAGAGATCAGTTGCCTGGAGCGCTTGAGCTGTGTCAATCTTCGACGATGGGCAATGGTGTGATTGCGAATCCAGAAGGGCCTGGCATTCGGGATGGTGACCTCATCATGTCAGAGACCGTGGATTGCTTCGTCATCTGTCAAGACTCCTACGACGTTCGATGCCATGGCTGCCTCGCTGCAAACGTCGACTTGGTGCCATGCGACTGCGAGTGGGCGCACTTCTGTCACACCTGCGACAGCAACCGAGACGCTGTTCACACGCAAATGGAGTGTCGCGTGTTTCAACAGCCCGAGTTCGAAGACCTGCCCGAGCCCACGCAGGAATACGTTCGCCTTGCGCTTCGCATCTGGTACAAGGACGGCGTGCGAGACCGCATCCAGCGCGCGCTCTGCCGCTCTGCTCACTGCAACTCCTGGCCGCAGTGGCAGCTAATCCGCAGCGCAGCAGACTTTGTCGCGGTATCGTTGCTTGTTCGTGTGTGTGTGTGTGTGTGCGTGTGCGTGTGTGCGTGTGGAAGAGTAGGAGCGCTTATTTGGGCTTGTTTGCTGATGCTGTGTGCTCATGTTGGTGTTGTCTTGTGTAAATGCAAGTTTGTGTCGTGTGAGTGTATGTTCACGTGCGAACTGCCAACGCACCAATTTCGAGCCTGCCCTTTTCACCTCTTTCTTTCCTGCTGGCATCGCTCACATGTACATGTGTGCACATGTGTACGTGTACGTGTGTGTGTGCGTGTGTGTGTGTACGTGTGTGTGTACGTGTGTGTACGTGTGTGTGTGTGCGTGCGTGCGTGCGAATGTGGTTGTGTTGCAGGGCGTGGATGCATCAGTGGACCGGCTGGTGGTGGTGGACTGTCTCCTTCGTGCGGCCGCCAACTGCATTTGCATCATGAACGACATCAGAGATGAGGTAGGGACAGCACATTCACATGCAGAATGTACACGTTTGTAACCACACACGCACGAGCACACACGCACACACACAAGTGCCTGCAGATCCTACACTTTACGCCCAGCACATGAAGGACCTCTCTGTGTTGCATGTCTTCCACAACTGCAACAGCCTTTTTGACGCAACGCGTGTGTTCACAAGGCAGCGCCGATGTTGTTGTTGTTGTTGTTGTTGTTGTTGTTGTTGTTGTTGTTGTTGTTGTTGTTGTTGTTGTTGTTGTTGTTGTTGTTGTTGTTGTTGTTGTTGTTGTTGTTGTTGTTGTTGTTGTTGTTGTTGTTGTTGTTGTTGTTGTTGTTGTTGTTGTTGTTGTTGTTGTTGTTGTTGTTGTTGTTGTTGTTGTTGTTGTTGTTGTTGTTGTTGTTGTTGTTGTTGTTGTTGTTGTTGTTGTTGTTGTTGTTGTTGTTGTTGTTGTTGTTGTTGTTGTTGTTGTTGTTGTTGTTGTTGTTGTTGTTGTTGTTGTTCGTCGTCGTCGTCGTCGTCGTCGTTGTTGTTGTTGTTGTTGTTGTTGTTGTTGTTGTTGTTGTTGTTGTTGTTGTTGTTGTTGTTGTTGTTGTTGTTGTTGTTGTTGTTGTTGTTGTTGTTGTTGTTGTTGTTGTTGTTGTTGTTGTTGTTGTTGGTGTTGTAGTCAAATGTTGTTGTTACCTCCACGTCACAGATGAAAAACTGCCGGAAAAAAACGCGCAGTTCCGCCTGACAGTAAAAACGGTGCGAGTGGGAGTTACGGGGATGAGTTAGAATGCAACAAACGCGCTCACAGCCACACGCATATCACGCAGCACACCAGCGGAAAAAAGATGAAGAGCGATAAAAGCAATAAATAAAGAACGCACGGTGCGCGCGCACCAAAAACACCTGCATCTCATGGCAGCTTCAACATCCTCACTGGTCGAAG